CACTATATCATGATGCAAGCTTGACCACAGATCTTATACCTAAGCTCATCTTATATCTAGAAGCTTCGCATAAGAGTCTGAGTCTGCAGCGCGACGTGTCAGCCTAGAAGCTTCGGTGCTCGGCCGGCCATAAGCTTAGTCTCGAAAGCTCATCGGACGGTTCCCTCGCACGCGGTGCACGTGGGTCTTATCGGACGGTCACGCGGTGAAGCAGTAACCCAGACACGTGTCGTGTAGTGATTGATATATCAAATAAGTCGATAGCGTATAATAACGGACGATGCGCGGCCGCGAGTTTGGCGCGCAGCCAGAAGTCGGTGCGCAGTCGTGCCGTTACATCGACGGATGCTACAGTAGGCGGGACACTCACAGCAGCAGCATTATCGGGAAATCACAGCAACACTACGATATTTGGAGGACTGTTAGGGATTCAGAACACTTCACCAGCGTCCGCCCTCGATATTATTGATTCAAATAACTCGAATCTCTTACCATTGCGGAGTATTCTGCTGTCGACGGAGTCATACAGAGGATGAAACGTGCAAGAGAAACAGTGGTAGCACCCTCAAACTTACTTGCTGGGGACTCGATCTTCGCTTTCCGATGTTCGTCATACACGTCAAATGCGGATTTCATTCGCAACGTGGGCATAGACGCTTTTTGCTCTGAAAACCAACTTTTCGGATCTAACGGGTCATATATTGCCTTTTCGACCACAGCATCGAACACTAGCACTCTATCAGAAAAAGTAAGAATCGACCCGTCTATTAATCTCGGCGTAGGAACGACTACACCATCGTACAAAGTGGACGTCAACGGTACGTTGAATGCGACTGTCCTACGCGGGAGTCACGACTGGACGTATATGAGCAATCTACCGAGTTTGCTATCAAATAACGGGGCAATCAATACGGCAACCATTTCAAATCTTACGGTACAAACTGGTCTTACTGTATCAGGAGTTCAGTCTAACAACAACACCGTTGCAATTTCTCAAAATTGTTTGTATTTAGATGACGGAAACAAAGGTCTTGTTTACAGTTCTGCTTTAAATACGTTTAACTCAAATTTCAAGAGTGTAGGAGGACCCGTCCTTTATGGGTGGTCTGGCGGTGCTTTGGCAACGTCAACAAACGGAGCAAATTTCAGTATTCGTCAATCTAATCTTTCAGCGACCGCTTATTGGACGACAACTGGTGTCAAGATCTTCAAGTCAAACCCGTCCTATCCTCTCGAGGTAAACGGTACTGCAGTAGCGACCACCTTTGCTGGGAACTTAGCGTCTCACGAGCGTGCCGAGTATTCTCGCAAATAGTTCGAGTCTTGGTTGGTCGAACGTTGTTGGGGCTCCAGCAGTACTCTCAAACGCGTCTAGCGTCAATGCTTTCACCGTTTCAAATTTGATAGTCAACACATCGATATCTAACGCTGGAACGCTTGCTATGAAAAACAGGACTGACGGTAGCATATCGGGTTCGCATATTTATTGCGTACCAGCATCAGACAACTATCCTCTATTTCAACAATTAAATTGGCAGCACGATAACATCAGTCAGAATTTCGATTCTTACTTCAATGGTACGAATTGAGTGGCAGGAAGTTGCAACGCAAGTTATCAAATCTACAAGTATCAGGGTAGTCTCAACTTCAATTACGGAAAAACGTTTCAGAGTTCTTACGTATCTTTCAGTACTGCTATGTCGATCAATTCGAACGGTATTGTCAATGTCAACAATACATTAACCACTGCAACCCTCTCTAACTCTGGAAACTTGCAGGTCGGTGGCGTTTTAAGTGCAACAGGAAACCTGTCGAACGGTGGAGTGCTAACGAGTTATGGTATAACATCTATTAATACCCAGAGCGATACTGGTTATTTAAAAGGGTTAAGATTTTGGGATGCTAACGATGCAAACTGGAGCATGTACATGTGTCAATCTGGAGCAGGTAAGAGTGCAGCAAGCAATACGGCATGCACTTCTTTAGATGGTCGTACCGCTTATCATATCAGATTTCGAACGAGTAGCGGCACTCAACAGGGTTTTATATGGGAAAACAACGGAGAAAATTGCTTGATGTCTTTGACAGCAGATACGGGAAACCTCTACGTTGAAAAATCAGTGTCTGCGTCAAACAGTACATTTGGGTTCGATGGATACGGACAAGCACGTTATTGGTATGGGGCTACAAACAACAGCATGATCCACCGTATGATGGTGCTAGTTATTACATGCTGTTCTCGGCGACTTCGAACGGTGCTTGGAACAGTCTACGCCCGCTTACCATACCATATTCAACTGGATATGTAGGAATTAATCAAGCATCACCATCTTATACTCTCGATGTGGGTGGGACTGTCAATTGCACCACCTTGCAGGGTTCGCTCGCTTACTCATATCTCAGTGGCGTCCCAGCGGTTTTGAGCAATACCTCCGCCGCTTTTACCACCGTTTCGAATGCTGCAATCAATGCAAGCAATTGTGTCAACGGAGTGGCAACATGTGCCACTGGAGGACTTCAATTCCCTGCTTCAGATCCTGGATGGATGACAGTGGCTAATTATGGTGGGGCAGATAGGTATGGATTTGGTCAGTGGACTGGAGCCTGACAGGTCAGAGCGGTAATTAGTGGAACCTATTCTGCGGCTGCCTTCAATGTATGCAAACCTTTCAATTCTAACTATACTTCGTGGTCTAATCTCCTTTCCGTAGATACCAACGGGAATTGTTCAAACCTTGGAAATCTCAATGTGGGAGGCATGATAAACGTGACAAATCAACTTAACGTACAAGGTTATCTACAACTGAACGGGACGGGAGTTTTATGTACTCAAAAGCCTCAAATGGTTTGGTTGAAAGTTCTCGGCACAGACTGCTAATCTCGTTTTGTACGACGATGGTAGTTCGAAATTTAGAAATGGTGCGATTATCCAGACTGCTCAAATCTCTAGCAACGTATTCAATAACGACGCCACATTTAGTCATTTGAACAACCACAACACTACGGGTTATGCACTTACGCAAAGTTCGGGTGGTCTTACTACGGTCAATGCTACAAGTGGCAACTCGGTGAGAACTGCAGTGAACGGACACTTACCACGAGTTTTTTCGCCAGTACATATTCAATTGGAACGGATGCCCTCAATGCTCTAGCTTGGTCAAACGCTGGTCAAGGACCGGTCATTGTATCAGGTACATACACAGCCTTCTCTGGTCTAACTGGGACGATAGACCTTTCACCGATCTGGGGAAGTACTTTAGTAACTTCCATGGGCGAATTAAAGTTCTTTGTAAAGACTCGAAACATCACATACCCTTGATCTTGCATGGTTTCCATCTATATCAGTCGACAGGTGGGTCAGGTAGCAACATACGTTCAGCAAAATTTCTATAACAATGGAATGTCGATCGGCAGTTATTCAATTAACTCCTTCAATCAGCTCGTTATAACAATGAATTCAATAACAGGCAGCCCGCAACTGTATGGCACTTTCATCTACACGGGAATACTTTAATCTCCGCTTACCTTAATGAAATCCTTCGAAGAGTGTTGCGAGGAGTGCCAAGAGCAGAATCCCTTCTTTCGGCTCGGTGGAGGCGTGGTGGGGAAGTTCACCTACACGAGAGACACGCCATTCATTCAGCCTTTCGAAAGCATCGAGAGTCCTTGGGCGGACTACATCAAGAGCGACAGCATGGAGACCAACATAAAGAAGCTATTCAAATTGGCTCAGAAGTACACCAAGAAACAGAAAGAAAAAGAAGAGAAGGTGGAAGAGGAGAAGCCAAAGGAGCGAGAGAAGCCGAAGGAGCCAGAAGTAGAAGAAGTAGAAGACGAAAAACCACTAGTTGAGGAAGAAGAAGAATCGCCAGGGCTTTCCAGAACTCATTTCAATACCTTAAAGAGTCGATGGAAATCATTGGCTCCAAATTCGCCACTCTCCGCGCTAGAGAAGAATCAGATTCTAATCGTCGCTGAATCGTTCGAGGACGTTCGAACGGTTAAGGGACGACCATTCAGGCAAGTTGATCAACATCTTTTCGACAAGTTGAATGAAAAGTTCGGTACAAATTTCCCGTGGGTTAAGAAGGGGAAAAAATGATCTATGTCAACTGCTGAATAATTATCTACAGTCAATTTATAAAACATGTCGTATCCCTCTGTCCTTAAATATTATCTTGAGAAGCTCGACAACGTTTCTAGGAATACTTTCCTTCTGTACCCTCAAACGCCCGTCCAGGCTAATGCAGGGGATACGATCTCCATCACCCTACCTGAGAACAGCATCGTGAACCTAGATGCGTTCACGCTGTATGCTAACCTAACGACCAATGCTGGTAC